CCACCCCTTCCCAAAAAAAGAAGCGTCTGTGATCGTCTGAATAAATTCTCAGGGGGCACCGCTGCCGATTTGGAGGACACTTTATAAATTGCTTAAAGAGAAGGCTTAGAGTAAACTACATGTATAATAATTATTGGGTTTTTTAAGAATCTTCTTTGTTCTTACTGAGAACTTTGTTTTTAACCAAATGGGACTTAGACCCATCCATTTTCTGATCGCTTCAATATCAGTTTGTAAGTTATTTTCTTCTGTATCAGATTCAACATGCAGACAACTACAATCTTATGTTTGGCTCTTCACTTTTTTGCGTGAGAGACCGGAGTTCGAGTCCAGCTTGGGGAAGCCTATTATGATGTTCAGAATATGTATCTTTCTTAGTTCCTTGTGGACTCTAACAGATTGGACTGAAACAACCCGCCTCCTGGTCTGAATTGTATCAATGTTAAATCTTTACCAATTTAAATCTTCTCGAGCGAACAAACTAAACGCGCAATCGCGCATATACGAGAGTAAATATTATCAGCTGCATTTAGGCTCCGTGTAATCGAATGATTTTTGCAACCAGTCTCCCATTGATTAACACGCTCTCTCAACAATAAATTATTGTTATACTTAGTTGACAGAGATTGCAAGCGCTGGTGACATTTATAGTACAGTGCACTTATTTCCACGCACACAATATCGTGACTTCAATGGCGTAAAAACTTACATGATAGATTGTTTCCCCTTTGTTTCTTCTCGTTGTATTAAAATTCAAACGTAACTCGATTTGGAGCCAAACAAAAGGCAAGGGTGAGGGGAAGGGGGGGGGGGGGGGGTTTATTAACAATAATGTGTAGATGACATTCATTCATTTTCCCAATTCAGAGACCTAATACTTGGATCGTCTAACAATGAACTTCACCAAAACGACATGCAGCGTTCCAATCTGTTATGTACAATTATACTTCTAAAATTCCCTACTCACAAAGCTGATACCCCCATAATAATGATCGTCACCAAGACAGCATACAGCGTCCCAACATGTAATGTACAATAATATGTTTCTAACATTCGTTTTGTCTCCTGCCTATAAAGCTAATAGCCCTGCCTTAATTATAATCTTCTACCTGAAGACATACAGCGTTCCAGCCTGTTATACACAATTATTTTATTTCTCTGACATTCGTTCAATCTCGTATCTACGGAGTGAGTACTTTCACAACTATGATCTTCGCCCTGGAGACGTGGCCTATAGGTTAAGGTGTTGGCCTCTCATTCAAAGGTCACGGGTTGGAATCCGAGTAGTGACAGAAAAAATTTTCTTCTCTAAAATTGTCTCGTTTCACCCCCTTTCCAGCTCTCTTGCAATACTATATCGTGTGCTTTCGTCTCCACTTTCTGCCCCCACTCCTCACCTCCTTTACCCATTCCTCTGGGCTCCTGGCTCTTTCTACAGTCTTCCTACTGCTACTCCTTGGCTCCTTCTTACTGGTGTCTTTCAGCCACGCCCATGATCTTCTGGTAGGAGAGAATTACACCTAGCCTTCTCGGACAAGGGCGAAAAATCTCGAAGGTCCTGTGTGCAAGTTGCACACATTAAAGATCCCTTGGTGGTCTAAAATTGGAAAGAGTTGGCTTCGGCCGCCACCAGGGCAATATTCAAAATTTCCTACAAACTGAAATAGTTTAATGTATCCCGCCCGATCATATGACCTTATGCAGTGCGAGCGCTGTAAAACACTTA